AAAATTAGTTTTAATGTGCAGTTTACATTTGAACCTGGATGTTCCCATCAAGCACAAATGTTTACCAAACTGTGTCAGGAAAATAAGTCAAATATTTATGAACCAACAACTAAGGAAGGTTAAAGAAAATCTGAATTATTATATAATCTAAATAATGAATAGAAACTTCTGATGATGTATACAATTTTAATGAACTAGGTGGAACAGAAGGTTAAAGGTCAAAGCTCATGACCCATTTAATTAAACAAGCTTACAAGATGAATGCTGTAACAACCACGGGTCCAAATGTTGCCCTCAAACTCTGCAGGTGCTGCGACGCTAACAGAGATATAAAATAAAAACCCAATCATATATGGAAACCCATTTCTGCCAAACAACAAAATGAAACAGTGTAAAATGCCTTTGGTTAGTCAAAAATTACAAAAATATCTTCAGACAGTAAATTTCAAACAATTTTAGATTTTTTCATATTTTTGCCAGTGAAGTTACATTTTTAATTCTCACAAAACTTTTACACCATAGAAAGACATTTGGTCTTTTCACTAACATACTAATGTAACTTAGAATAACCTCAAGTTTTTTGTTTAAATTATTGATTAAAGCTGTTTTGGTTAAGAATCCGCAAAAGATGAAATAAAAATAAAACAGCGTGAGCCTCAAACGAATTCAGATTTATTTACAACTAAAATAAAAGCAGCTCAATTAATATTTGAGGGGAAACATCTTTTTTTTCTGCATTTTTGGCAGAAAGGGGCTTCCATGTCAACTGTTGTAGTTTTTGTCTTCTGCAGAAACAAACTACAGGACCGACGTCCTGATTGTCCATTAGTCTCAAAGTTGAGGCGCCGGCATGGACGTCTGAGCAGGGACTCATAGTGCAGACATATCTTCATTCAACATCCACCATCTCTACATCGTCCTGGCATCCAGACGCCTTCTTGTTCTTCTTCTTGGTCTGAGCTGATGCGGTGTCGTGCTTCTTCTGTGGTGCTGCTGTTGATTCCACTACAGAGAGACGAATGATGAGCAATTTTATTTTTGTGTCATAAAAAAGTATCAATAAAACACCAGACGCTGAAAAACAACACAAAATGCAGCTGATGATCAGTCAACTTTGATGCAGAACTCGTGGAATCTAACTGGCTGATGGACAAACACATCATTTCCTGTGTCCACTATGTGGTGTTAAAAAATAAAATAAAAAAACCTTCACCCTCTAATCATCTGTGCCAGTATGTAATGTGTAGAACACACAGTGATAATCAGTGTTGGGGAGTAACATAATACATGTACCGGCATTATGCACTTAAAATACAAAATATGAGTAACTGTATTCCGTTACAGTTACCATTTAAAAAGGTGGTATTCAGAATACAGTTACTTTGTTGAAATAAATGGATTACACAGCAGTACAGTCCTATTTCACCTGTTAGGCTATGGTCTCTCTATTTTTGGTAATTCCATGCCGGTGGAGACCCAAACAAAAGACGCATTAAGAGGCTCTAATGCCTGGGTCTCACGGCCCATGTCACCTCTACTTGCCGCCCGCATAATGACGTGAAGAAATATTTTTGTAATTATTATTCAAAACATTATTTAATATGAAGGTGATAGCCAGAGTGTTAAAGGCATAGCCCTAAAGAACGTAGCCTCATGGGCAGTGTAGTGCTGCAGGGAGAATGGACTGCCATACTCGTTATGTGTCTGTGAGCGCGAGGGAGGGA